TTATATTATTTATATTTAAATTTTTTCGAAATAGCGTAACGATAACGATATATCCTCAATTTGAGGACCTCAAACGATTTTAAACATTTGTTATTATTCAAAAAGTATAAGTCGTAGATACTTGAAAATTTTACCAGTTACTTAGATTGGTATTTTCTTTACATGATTTAATTTTCAAAATATTTTGACTTTTTTTGAGGTATTTATAGACAACTGAAATTTTAAATTTTTCTGAAAATTTTTTTTGAAGTGTTGATAACATTTTTTGGCCCTCTCAAAATACTTGAAAATTTAATACAAAGTTCCTCATAAGTTATTAATATAGTGATTAAAAAATTACAAAAATACATAGGCACGATTTTTTTTTTATTAGCATTTGAAGTTCAAATTTTGACTAAATACATAAAAATTACGRCAATGTTCAAATTATCTTAGATCAAAATTCATAAAAGTTTTTCTTTTTATACCTAAGATTTSAAAATTTTATACAAGGCTCCTAAAATATTTTTACAATAGCAGTTGAAAAATAAATGAAATGTATAATCACATTTTTTTTTTTACAATTATTTAAATTTTAATTTTGACAACATACGTAAAAATCACGAAAATTCGCAAATATTATAAGCTAGAAATTCATAAAAAAATTTCTTTTTAAATCTAAGATTTGAAAATTTAATACAAGATTCCTTATAAATTAGTCAATCTTCATCACAAAAAAAATGTCAACCGGAAATTCAAATTAAATTTTTATTAGCATTTGAATTTCAAATATTGACARAAATTCGTCAAAACCATGAATATTTGCAAATTATTTTGTAGTTCAAAATTCATAATATTGCTTGTATTTATATCTAAGGTTATACAATTTAACACCAAGTTTTCCATAAGTTTTGCTTCAAATAGCTATAGAGAAAATTTGAAGCGTCATTATAGGAAAAATGTTTTGAGCGTTTGAGTTTTAAATTTTTATGAAATCACGTAATGATAACGATTTATCCTCAAA